TTGGTTGAATTTTCTGTCTTGAAAGTCTTAACAATGTTTTCTAACAAGGGACATTCCATTTTTATTTTGCACTAAACCTGAAAACTATGCAGCCAATCCTGTACAGAAAATTAACTACTTCAAGGTGAATTGCTGTCCAGCCAGTCCATACACCTGAGATGGGAGTCATTGGAAAATGGGTTCTGAGTATAGGTCTTAGTGTCAGCAATTATTGTAGCTGTCAGTCACTAGCAGTTGTTCAAGAAGCCCAGAAATACTTATGACATTTCATAATAGGTACTGATTTCGATTAAAAGTTTAACTTAGGCCTTGGCTACCCTTTAAAATCTTGTTAACAAATAGACAGGTTTCTCTACCTTCAAGTTTATAAACAATACCACCTCCAAAGACAGGTTCATAAAGTTTTCCATTCTATAAACTTAATGTGTTATGCACAATTTAACATTTTTAGCTTAATTTGATTAAAGGCATACAAAATTGCATCAGATGTAATAAAAGTAAAGCCCTAGAATTTCAGTTATTAAATACTTGCACCTGACAAGTTCAGTAGTTTATACGCAAACTGCAAAAAAGAAAAGCCAAAAGCCCAGAAAGGACAGAGAGTAATTCAACAAATTATTTTCTTAGCCATAACAGATTTGAAAGGGCTCTCTTTAAAGTGAGTGACAGAAGGGGTCTATAAACTATACATTTATCTCAGGACATTCCCTCATACACCTCAAGCCATTCCTCAAATTGCAAATGTCATTTTCTTCCTGTCCACACTAAACCCTGACACAGAACTGTCACAGGTTCTGATATAATAATTGGCTGCTCACTCTCCAGAGGCCTGAGAGATCAAAAGAGCATACCACACACCTGTTCGTGGACATTAAAATACTCTCGGGCTGGAGATGTGGCTCCAGGTAGAGAGCACTTGTCCAGTATGTGTGAGGTCCCAGGTTCAAGCCCCAGCAATGGGGTGAAATCTCTCACCAAGACAATAATAAAAAGCTCAACTATGGCATGGGGTAGGGGAAATAGACCTGGGGAAGAATGGTAAAGTGACATCACATCCTTATTACCATAACTGAAGATGAGACACACCTTTTATTCCCCTCTTGCTCTCCCTGAAGCCATCTCTAGAGACTGAGATCTTCATTTCATTGCTCAGTGCCCAGGAAGCATTAATGAATAGCCTCACCCAAATGTATACTAATTTCAAACCAATAGCATAAGCCAGCCACAACTGTACTGTGTACAACAAAAATCTTGGACAGAACTGGCCATAGTCTCTTAGCGGATGCATGGGGACAGACAACCATTGTCTTGTTCAGCATCCATGAAAGGGCAACCTTCCCAAAAGGAGCCATTCCTACGCCTGGGTAAAATCTACACCACATAGATACACATTCACAGAATTGAAACAACAAGTTTCTGCAACACATGGCTTTTGCAGAACGGACAATGTTATAGCTCTCATTAATATACCTGGAATGCATTTGTTCTAAGGCTATGGTCTGATCTCTTCCCCCTTATGTTGTTCATGCAGTTGGGGAAATTAACTATTTAATTCCTTATTCTGAAACTTTTACCTGTCCACATTCATAAATTTTGTATTTTTACTTCTATTTCATAACTGAAAGATACTGATCTATGCTTAAACCCTGAGAATTGGAATTTGGGGGGGTGGTACTTGAACCCAGGGCCTTCACACTCAGCCACATTCTCACCCACACCCCTCCTTCTTTTTTTTTTTTTTAAGTGAGACAAATTCTTGCTAAATCCCTAAATTGCCCAGGCTGGGCTTGAACTCGCAATTCTCCTGCCTCAGCATCTGTGTGCTGGGATAACCACTCTGAAAATCTTAAAAATGTCTATCGCTCACTCACTGCATCTAAATAGAGCTTATGGCCTGCTTCCTTCATCCAACATTACTGTGTGGACTGGTGATTTTTCTTTTTCTTTTTTTTTTTTTTTCTTTTGGTACCGAGGATTGAGCTTGGGTCCTTGTGCTTGCAAGGCAGGCCACCGAACCACTGAACTAAATCCCCAGCCCCTCTGGTGATTTTTCTAAAGGGTACAACATATTCTTCCACTCTTTCCCTCTGAGCCCTTTCAAAATATGATAGTAGCATATTTCGTCCACTTATTTAATAAATATTTGCCAACTACTCACTGTATGATAGACACTGAAAGGTACAGATTTGCTCCAGTCCCTGCCTGCAAGGTATCCATGGGTCAGTCTGAATGAGGCCTTTGAGTGGTTCGGAGCTTCCTGAAACTCAAGCACCTAGCCTGTGCCTCTCCCTTGTTCCAAAGATTTGTTGACTAAATGCACTGTGCAGGCTTTATTTCCTACATAGAGCTTTCTAATTAACACAGACATTCCAAAGTCAACAGGATTTAAGTCAGGCAAGCTATCAGATGAGCAGAACTTAAAAACAAAAATCACTCGGATAACCTGCTCCGAAGAGTATTCGCCCCTGCTGATGGACATCTTGCCAGATTGGGAAATGTGAAAGGATCGCTTTCATAAGTGCTGCCTCCAAAATAGCCACAGGCTCTGTTGCAATTTGTTGTGACACAGGTCTGCCTGCACCAGGGGTAACAGGAGCTTGTTAATGCCAAAAATGGTTCTCTCCCTCTGAAATCTGCAGAAGCTGAATGTCACTGATACAGCTATCTTGGCCTTCACTGGGTACAACACATGTCTCGCTTTCCTCGAATGCAGCTAGGTACAAATTTCCAGGAGCAACAATTCACCTTTTCAAATTACAAAGCCCAGAAGTGGCAGAGTGGAGGAAAAGCAGCTGCTACAAAACAAGGGAATTACAGATGGAAACCCTGTGCAAACAGAGCAAGGAGAGAGCCGTTGGTGTTAGCTTAAAATTCCAGCTGAGTAGGCTGTGAATGTTCTGCAGGCTGCAAAGTCTCTATATAACATCTAATTTTTTTAAATACAGGATTCAAAAAACACCATAATTCTACTTTAACACAATCCAAGTCCTTGTATGTACCAGAAGAAGAACAAATTCAACTGCTTAAAAATCCCTTGCTCAAGAACTAGGCATGAATTTCACAGTGGCTACTGCCACATGAAATCTGTTTTTAAATGAGTACTTTATTCAGAGTGGTTGCTTTTTAATGATGCTATCTCAATTTCCCACTAAGCCCTTTTCATCTGTAGTCATCCAACATTAATATTTATTTTGTTCATTTAATTTTAAAGTATTCTTAAAAGCTCTTACAAATATTCTGTTGCTGAAGATAATTCAGCACAGATACTACCACAAAAATATCATGGAAAACATGGTCAATTTGTTATAGCTGCAATGTAGCTTAATGAACACAACACTAGAAACTATTTCAGTAAATTAAGAAACAATCATTCTAAGACATATTATAAAATCTACTGCTAAATGCGCCTTTTAAAAAATCTATGTACTCCTTCAGCTTGGAATTCTTATGAGTGTAGTTAGATTTCACATTGTAATGATAATGATATCTAAGAACTACTTTATATTAAAATATTTCCCACATACATGTTACTTTCCATCATCTTTTTTCTAAAGCCCTCAGTATTTAACCCATACATGTTGGTTTATGATATAATATATAGTTTATTCCTATAATTTATCTTAGAATAAATTACAGTAAAACAAAGCCATGATGATATTGAACTTGTACCATATTTAACATTATATACAACTATACTATCTCTGGCTCCTATTTGGGCTTCAGAACTTATCACCATCAGACATCCTGCAGACTGCTTCAATGCAATATGGGTGCAGACCTGGCAATAACATAACCACTGCAGGAAAATTCAAGTTTTCTCCCTGAAAAATGCTAAATTTCAAAATCCTACACACTAATCCATTTTTACTTCATCTTTCCCATAATCCATTTTCATATCTAAAAGATGTTCTTGGCTGAAGCCTTACACTGTCTGCATCATCCTATTTTCTTTGCAATTTGCTTTTAGGAAACCTGATAAAGAAAGCAATATATCCCAAGGGCATCCCAAGTAAACCATTACAAATTCATATTCTGTTTTGCATTAATTTGAATAGAAAGCAAGGGAGAAAGTCCATTGTGTTCCTGATTCTCAGATAAAATTTCCCTGCTTTCATGTCCTATTAATGTCACACAGACACTCCAGATACTTGTCACTTTGCTAACCAAGAAGTTTCTACCATCACCAACAATATGTTCACACTAATTTTTGAGGCTTGTATTCTAATCATCAGAACTTTTAAAAATTAGATACTTTTTTAAAAAATCTTTTCTATGAACCAACCTCAGGACAACCTCTGCTTCAAGGTTCCGTGCATTAACTTGATACAGTAGTAATCACAGCTAAATGCCTTCAAATCATGGGCTTGCTTCTTGCTTTCTATAACTCAAGGTTCAACAGGAGAGTAGTGTGTGCTTTTTCTTCTGCCTTGCTGGGTTTTGCCTATAGAATTTTAAGATTTGTTTCATTCCTGGGCACCTGGTAAGCTGTTATTCATGTGACAAAACAACTCCCACGTTATCATTAAGAAGCCAGAAGCTTCTCCCAGTTCAACTGTCCTCAAGGAGAGCACCTGATTCTATCTAAACTATAGAGGACAAATAACACAGTAAATTCCCAAGTAATGGAGGCAAATATAAAAAAAGAATATTATTTATTACCATCTTTATTAATACTCACATGTAACCTTTGTTTTTTACACAAAAGTCTACTTTAGAAGAACGCCTCCTTGATTTATCATGCCCAATAGGGCCTTATGTTCCTGGATCATTTTTCCTTTCTCCACCCCAACCCACCCCCACATCCAAATACTCTTACATGTTCACAGATTCCACGAAAATTTTGTAAACAAGATTTGGGTTACTGGAACTTGATTTCATCAACATTCCACTTCAAGATGAAGGCAGGTGCAGGAGAGGGTAAGAAATGGAGAAACTCGGAAAGGAGAAGGGGCAAGGGTCAGGAGAGAAGGGCCAGCTAGTTAGAACTTTCAAGTCTTGCCTTTTGTGAGGGCTGTGTGTGTGTGTGTGTGTGTGTGTGTGTGTGTGTGTGTTCCTTGAAATTCACTGACTCAAAACATTGACAGCAAGTGCCTCTGTGGTTATTTATATTACGTATCTATAATAGAATATGTGGGTTTCTCAGTTCCCGTCTGGGTTGTGTTCCTTTAAACACACCAGAGTGCTCTTTGTGGGTACAGTCCACAGGGTGCCAGATCTCCTGGGAACCCCTCTCAGAGCCGGGGCTTCCGAAGCAGGGTCTTGCTGAGACTCAAAACATTGACAGCAAGTGCCTCTGTGGTTATTTATATTACGTATCTATAATAGAATATGTGGGTTTCTCAGTTCCCGTCTGGGTTGTGTTCCTTTAAACACACCAGAGTGCTCTTTGTGGGTACAGTCCACAGGGTGCCAGATCTCCTGGGAACCCCTCTCAGAGCCGGGGCTTCCGAAGCAGGGTCTTGCTGAGATCTTTGACCTCCTCAGGGCTGTTCACCCGTTCATAGCCCAGCACAGCCATGGGCTGGTAGCAAAACTCTTCCACCTGTTTGATCTGCTGGAAGGTGAGCGCGGTCCGCCAGGCATTGGCGGCCTGCGTGGCATTGCGTGCAGACACCACGAAAGGCTTAGAGGAAGAGCCAGAGCCACTGGTCATGTTCAGGGCAAACTGCTCCATTTCAGGGCTCACCAGCAGCCCCACAAAGTCATACACCCTCTTTAGTGTCTTAACGGGGTCTCCCACCAGGTCCTCGTACCGCACCACCAGGTAGTGGCCCTGTAGCCAGTCAGGGGGCTGCAGGGCTATCTGCAGCGTCTTGGCCATGCTGTTGCATATGACCTCCATAGCGCCAAGCGCATGGTAGTCTGCTGGGCCGCCCATGCCCTCCTTCTTGGCGCTCAGCTTGTGCCCAGCGGCCTCGAGGAAGGGCATACGATGAGCTCGTGGGTCCCGGCTGCGTACCACCTGTAGGCTTTCTCGGATGAGGCCGTGGCGCGAGCGGATGCGTGAGCTGGCAACTGCACGGGGATCACGCACAAGGTGGATGACCTTGAGGTCCAGGGCCGGGTCTCGAAGCAGCGGCGCCAACACCGCCACGTCGAAGACGCGCACGCCCTTGATAACCAGGGTGCGGTACTTGCGGCACTCCTCTTCGAAGCGTGCCAGGCGCTGAGGCGGGCACTTCTTGCACACCCTGTCGTCCACCAGCCCTACGACCTCCTTGCGGTAGGCGGGGCAGAGGGGCGAGGAGCACACCACCTTGTTGGTGGCCGCACCAAAGATGCCCAGCGTGGTGAGGTTGCGCCCCCCGCTGCCGGCGGGGCTGTACAGCTGGAAAACGGAGAGATCGCAGCGGTAGAGCGCGCTCAGCATGTCCCGCGCTGCTCCCTGCAGGGAGACAGCGTCCCCGGGGTACAGTTTTTGCCACACGTGCCACACTGGTTCGTAGAGAAAGAACACCTCCGGGTTCTGGTTGAAGAGCTCGCCGAAGAAGGACGAGCCCGAGCGCCACGTGGTGAACACATAGACCAGCTGCCGCTTGTCCCGGCCGCCCCGGGTGCCCCGGGTGCCATTTCCCAGAGGGGCCGCGGCCCCTACCACCCCGG